ATGTCACTTTAGTTTTGTGTATTTCACTGTACATAAATTATATTTCAATAAAATGCATTAAAAATATATTAGATGGAAATACATACTCCTGATATATACAACAAAGGTGTGTATGTTGAAGACACTTATGACATTTATGAAAAGCTCTTTACATGGTTTTGACTTTTCTTGTTTCACCAGAGATTAACAAAAGTCCTGCACAGAAGGGGCACCACTGACTTAGAGCCTTCTAGAAGCATATACTGATCTCATATTTATGGAGCATCTACTCTGTGCTAAGTTCTTTCTTGTCTATTACTCCATTTATTCTCATAAGAACTCATTTTTGTAAATGAGGAATCTGAGACTCAGAAAATTAAAAAATGAGCCCCAAATGGCATAGCCAGTAAAAGAGTGGAACTGGGAGACTGTGGTCTCTGCTCTGTGAGGGTTCTCAATCACAACAGCAGAAACTTCTGTCACCCATGTGAGTCACTCCCAACTCTTCACCCCTCCCACTGTTTTACTCAAGAAATGAGTTGGCAATGTGGTTGCTAACAACATACGGCTGAAGTTTTTTTTTTTTAAGAAAATCATGTCTAATTCTATACCTTCAGATCATCCAGATTTGATGGGAGTGGGCCTGGCTGGAAAGAAGAGACACCAGTTTGTGCAGAAAAATTGTTTTTGACAGGAGACAAAGGAGTGTTGCTCAGTGGTGTTGAAGAAGTGTTTGAATTTCTGACCATCTGTTCATTCGTTTCCCTGAAAAACAGAGAAAAAGGAGTACTTAAAATATTGTCAAATAATTATGCTGACAAATAAGTCAATCACAGAAGGACAAATATTGTATTAGTCCATTATTGTGAAAGTAAAGGAAAGGTTTATATATGGAAGGAAATTTTCTTTGTTGGTTGCCAGGGGTGGGAGGGAAGGGGAGGGAACATTGTTAGATAAGTTGAGGTAAGTATTGATTTTGGTGCAGAGAAGGGCAATGTACCAAATATGAGTGGTCAACATGGTCGCATTGAGGAAGAGGAAGACATATAGAGGTACATGGGAGGTGCAGACAACAAAGATGAACCCTCTTCACATACAGTACTGCACTGTCAGTGAAGGAAAACATAGTTATACAGGTGGATAGATGAGTGGACAAGCTGAACTATTAGGTATGTCTATGCAGTGGGGAGTGCACTCAAGACCATGAATAGGGTTGGTAGGCAATGGTTCTAAAAGTGTATTTGTATGTTCTGTAAGAATTCCCAGGTGTATGGTAGAGCTGACAAGGGACAAGGTTGTAGTCACTTCTTGGGCACAGCCAGCTACCCAGAGGGAGCAAGTAGTTGAATCTGTGGGCTTGGGACCATAGTCACAAGGGACATCAAGCTCAATCGGCATAACATACTATACAAAACATTGTTCTACCTCCTACTTTGGCAAGTAGTGACTGGAATCTTAAAAGCTTGCAAGCAGCCATTTAGAAGCAACGATGGGTCTCTCCTTGTCCAGAGCAAAGAAGAATGAAGACAACCAAAGATTCATGGGAAGAATTAGTCCTAGCTACTGGTACACCATGCAATCCACAGCCTATATGACTATGAGACCAGAAGAACTAGATGGTGCCCGGCTACCACTGTCAGCCCTCGGAGGGGGATCTATGTAGGAGATCCTGAATAGAGAGGGAGAACAATGTGGAACAAAACTCAAAATCATTTGGGGAAAAAGAAAGGGGAGGACAAGGTTTGCTGGTCTGATGTAGCCTGGTGGAACCACTGAGACTATTGTCCCTAGCTGCCCTTCAGGTCTGGAACTGAACCTGTACCTGTGGCTTCCAGCTAAACAAAAGACAAGCATCTGAGTTGAACATTTACCTGAGGTGGATGCACTCCTTGGAGAGAACAATCATGGGAGAATAGATGGACTGTGTATGCACAGTGAGACAGCTCAGGGGGCAGAAGTGCATGGAGGGAAGGACACAGGGAAGAGGTAACTATTGGGAGGAAGTGGGAGGGGAGCTGCTGCATTGCAGTAAATTATAGTCAATGTCATAAGACAAAGTGTATGTGAATTGTTGTATGGAAAGTGAACTTACTCTGTAGACTTTCATCCAAATCATGATCAAAAAGTATTGTCAAATATATGTGTGGTAACTTTCATTGAGAGCTTGATCAGAAATTGTTTACAAGGGTCAGGCAGATAGGGTGAAGAAAACAGTGTGGGCTAGAGGGCAAGTGGCAAGTGACACTTCATCTTAGTTTTGAGTAGACAAGAGGGAGCGGTGGAGACTATGGGTTAGGGAAAAGTACATGCCAGCCAATGGTTTACCAGATTCACTGCACTGGGAGAGCATGTGCAGACTGTGTAAAGCTGGTTTGTGCTCAGCACTCGGTATGATAGTCAATACGCTCTAAGGACAGAGGCAGATGAGGGAATCCATATCTCTTCTTTATAGTTGGGGAGACTGACTATTTAAAAGATGACCTAACAATGTGGTCACAAAACCTGGGCTCAGGAGTCAGTCTTTGAAGTTGCCATTCAGTCGTTCAGCTCTACTGCTTCCCACCCCCTAGGTGCTGAGCCAAGTCATGACCTATGGCCAATATTGGAATCATTCACAATTCTAACATTACATTCTTAGACAGTTTCTCCTCTCTGATCCACCATTCAATTTGGCAATGCTCAGACAAACATTCCTGTTTCCCAAAGAGACCTCTTACCAGGAACATTGATTTACGTGCCTTCTCCTGGCCTTATGTACCTGCAAAAGTGTGCATGGTCTCTAAACAGAACCATATTCTGAACATATTGGATAAGGATATGGTGTAATTTGAGACTCTCTGGGTAACAAGGTGCTGGCCAGGGTGCTGCAGATAGAGACAAGCCTTTCTCCACCTCTGCCCATAGCTACTGCCTCTAGCTTGCCTGACTTACTTGAGCTGAGCCTGGTGGACCCCAGAGTAGTTGAAGCGGTGCTGCTGCTGCTGGCTGAGAATCTGGAGCTGCAGGAAGAGCTGCTGCTGCTGGAGTAGCCGGGCATAGGCCGAGTCCATGGGTGGGGGCGACTTCTCGGCCTTCTGGTCTGGGGGGATATACTGGTGATACTTGAGCTTCTTCACCTTCGGCTTGGGGTCCTTGGGCTTTTTGTGGCGGTTCTTACTGTCACTCAAGGACTTGGACTATGAAGAGGATGAGGATATGGAATGTGCTTAGGAGATAGATGGGAATATCTTGGCATCATGGATATACTATGAAGAAGTTTGGTATGATAGGCATTTTTCACCCCAGAAATACAATCCCCAAAATACAGCAAAGGCATGAAGCACAGAGAGATCCTAGGACTAAATATGCATTGTATAAATGAACAACTCTACTATAAATGCATCTTGGAAATCTCAGGAATCTTGGAAGTAGCTCCAGGAATTTTTACTTGCCAGCATAGAGAATGGGTTGTAAGACTGTTCAATGAATGCACTTTCCTAACCCCAACCAACTAATGGCTAATAAAAGATGTGCTCAGGTTTTATGGTTTATTCATACGTTCTTTCATATGTATACATGGAATCACGTTTAGTTAAACACTTCCTAAAGTGACTTAATAATAGGCTTACATGATAGTAAGATTGTATTTGAAAACCCGGAATGCTGGTCTCTGTTGTTTTGGGCCAAAAAAGTTAGATAGACTCTTCCTGTCTATCCTCCAACCTCAAAATTCTGACATATGATCAGGAAGTAACACTCTCAGAACTAACGATAATTTACCCCTGATCTGGCCACCCACTGGAGCCATTTTTAGAAATTACCCATTCCAAAAAAACCAAACTCACTACCATCAAGTTGATTCTGACTCACAGGGACCCCCATTGGGTTTCTGAGGTGGTAAATCTTTATGGAAGCATATTGTCCCATCTTCCTTCCATAGAGTGGCTGGTGAGTTTGAACTGCCAACTTCTGGTTAGCAGTCAAATGCCTTAGGCACTGTGACACCAGAGGTTCTTCAGATATCCATTATGGAGGATGATTTGGACACTTTGAAGGAAGTTAAAGATTCAGGGTAAGAAGTTAAGACAAACCTTTCTACCACTTATTAATTTTTTGACTGTGGCCCAACCACTTAATTTTACTTCTCATATCTGCAAGTTGGGGAAAATATTCTTGACTTTCTAAGTAGGTGATCAATATATGGAGTATAAAAGATAATATTTAAATAATTGAGAAACAGATATCAATGAACAGTTGTGTGTGTGTGTCCATATACACACAAACATATATATAGGGAGAGTGAGCTCTGGTGGCACAATGGTTAAGTGTTTGACTGTTAATGGAAATGTCAGTGGTTTGAACCTACTACTACTGCTTAGGAGAAAAGAACTGGCAATCTGCTCCCATAAAGATTTTATTGCCTAGGAAACCCTATGAGGCAGTTTTACTTTGTCATATTAGGTGTTTATGTGTCAGAAGCAACTCAATTGTGTGTATGTGTGTGTGTGTGTATACTAGAGGGCTGGTAGTTCAAACCTACTAGCCACTCCTTGGAAGGAAGGTTGGGCAATCTACTTCTGTAGTGATACTGCCTTGGAAACCCAAGGAAGGGTCACTATGAGTCAGGTCTGACTCAAGGGCACATAACAACAACACAGGAGCTCTGGTGGTATAGTGCCTAAGGCATTTGACTGCTAACCAGAAGGCAGGCAGTTCAAACCCACCAGCCACTCCTCCGAAGGAAGGTTGGGCAATCTACTTCTGTAGTGATATCGCTTTGGAGACCCAAGAAGGGGTCGCTACGAGTCGGATCCGACTCAATGGCAGTGCCATTGTGTTGTTGCATTGTATGTATGCATATATATATATATATATATATATATATATATAGTATATAAAGAGCTCCTGTGGTATAGTGCCTAAGGCATGTGACTGCTAATCAGAAGGCTGGCTGTTCAAAGCCATCAGCCACTCTGCAGAAGGAAGACTGGGCAATCTACTTCCATAAAGATTAACCACCTTGGAAACCCAAATGGAGTCACTATGTGTCAGAATCCACTTGATGGCAGTGAATTTAGTTTGTATATAACCAAAAAACCAATCTCACTGCCATTGAGTTGATTTGACTTATAGCAACTCCCATTGGGTTTCTGAGGCAGTATATACTCTACTTCCATAGTAATACCACCTCAGAAACCCAAGGAGAGGTCACTATGAGTTGGCTCTGACTCGACGGCAGTGATACATGTATGTTTGTGTGTGTGTGTGTGTACTGTATCTATGTGGTATATAAATAGTGTATCTATAAAGTATACAAATAGTATATATAGTATATATATATACATACATATATAGGTAGATATTCTATATATATATGTATAAACATCTGTCAGTTTGTCGTACTGTGGTGGCTTGCAAGTTGCTATGAATTTAAGAGCTACACACATATTTCAAATAACAGCAAGGTCACCCATAATGGACAGGTTTCAGTGGCGCTTCCAGGCTAAAACATACTAGGAAGAATGGCCTGGCAATGTATTTCAGAAAATTAGCCAATGAAAATCTTATGGGTGACAACAGAATGTTGTAATACAGTCCTGGAAGTTGAGTCCCCTTAGGCTGGAAGACACACAATAGCTGCAACAGTAGAATCAAACATTCCAATGATCATGAAAATGAAACAGGACTGGGAAAAATTTCATTCTGTCATATATAAAGTCGCTATGAGTTGGAGCTGACTTGATGACAACTAACAACATCTATATCTATATCTATGTTGTTAGTTGTTATAGACATCTGTATCTATGTTGTTAGTTGCTGTTGAGTCTGTAACTATACCTATTTCTATTTTAATATTCCAAAATCAAAAGTCCTCTATACATTAGAAAGAAGTACATATATACATTAATCAGCTAAACAATATTAATTTTCAAACTCTTTTTTTTAAAAAAAGGTTGCAATGAAACAAATAGATGTCATGACAAGATTTTTTGAGGGTTTTGGGAAACGGTAGAGAGAAAGTGTGGTAACAAATGTGTCCACAAGAGAGAGCTCCTGAATAGTTGGCAGACACATACTGGCTGCTTTCGCATTTCAACCGCAAAATACACATCTCATTGTGATATTTTCCAAAGGAGCCTACAACTTATTTTTCTCTGACTCAGCACTTTGCACCCCTGAAGGCACTTTTCTTTTCTTCAAGAGGCTTCTTCCTGGAGACTAATGAATAATGAACCCAAGTATTACCGTGCATTGGCAGCTTCTGTTCTACTCAGTCATTGATCAGTGGTCTAGTTAGTCTTTCTCACCTGCACCTGGAGAATCTCCACAGGGCATCCACCACCAGCTCTGCCCTGCACTGCTCCAGTTTAGCTTCTGTTTCTACCCTGCCCTTGCCTTGCCTTGTCTGGAGAAGGACAGGGACTGCAGTCTAGCAGCTACGTGAGGGATTGAGTTTTCCCCTCATGTTGCCTTAGCTCAGGGACTCTAAGCATTCCTCAAAGTACCAAAGAGGTACAGACAACAAAGATAAGCACTTTTACATACCCAATACCGCATAAGTAATAACAAACATAAATCTATGGGTAGATACATAGGTAGGCAGGCTGAATAATCAGGTATGTCTAGACGAAGAGGAATATGTTCATGGACATATATGGGTTTGGCATTTCTACATATATGTTTGTATGTGCTATATGAATGTCCATATAAGTAGAACAACAGGGGAGCTCTGGTAGCATAGTGCCTAAGGCACTTGACTGCTAACCAGAAGGCTGGCGGTTCAAACCCTTCAGCCACTCCTCAGAAGGAAGATGGGGCAATCTACTTCCGTAGTGATACTGCCTCAGAAACCCAGGGAGGGGTTGCTATGAGTCGGGACTGACTTGACGGACAGCATGTGACAACAACAACAACAGGGGACAAAGCTATGATAACTTCTTAGCCACAGTCAATCATCTTGATGGACTGAGTTGTTGGGCCTGTGGGCTCAGGACCATGGTTGCGGGGGACATTAAAGTCAATTGGCATAACATACTACACAAAAACACAGTTTTACATCCTACTTTGGTGAGTAGTAACTAGGGTATTACAAGCTTGCAAGTGTCCATCTAAGATGCAACGGTTGGTATCTCCTCATCTGCGGCAAAGAAGAATGAAGAAAATCAAAGATGAATGGAGACAATTAGTCCAAGGGATTAGTGGACCATGTGAACCTCAGCCTACATGACATTGGAGCCAGAACTAGATGGTTCCCAGTTACCAATGTCAACCACTAGGAAAAGGATCAGTGTAGGAGATAGAGTAGGAGAAAAATGTGGAACAGAAAAATCATAGAGAAGACTGGCCTTACTGGTCTGATGGAGACTGGTGAAAGTTCCGGGACTATGGCCCCTAGGTAGGAGCCCTGGTGGTGTAATGCCTAAGACATTTGACTGCTAACCAGAAGGCTGGTGGTTCAAACCCACCAGCCACTCCTCGGAAGGAAGATTGGGCAATCTACTTCCGTAGAGATACCCCCTTGGAAACCCAAGGAGGGGTCGCTATGAGTTGGATTCGACTGACGACAGGGAGTTTATGGCCCCTAGTTACTCTTTAGGCCTGGAACTGAGCTCAATCCCTTGACTTCCAGCCAAACAATAGACAGATATACAGAGTGAACATTTATACCAGGTAGGTACAATCCTTGGAACAGTCAACCATGGGAGATCATAGGGGTGGTATTTGCACAAGGAGATAGATCAGAGGGTGGGAATACATAGGAAAGAGGGCAAAGGAGAAGGTGACCACAGGGAGGAAGTGGGAGAGCTGTTGCACTGTAGGGATTGTTTAGGAAAAGAAAAAAGAAGGTACCAAAATTAGATTACTTTCCCTGATTAGGATAGTGAGGACAAAGAGACAACTAAATACATGTAAATACATACATTCATTTTTTTTCATCCCAGGGGCTAAAGACAATCAAACAAAACAAAAAAAATCCCATTGCTGTCAAGTTAGCAACCCCATAGGACAGAGTAGAATTGCTCCATAGGGTTTCCAAGGCTGTAATCTTTATAGAAGTAGACTTTCTCATCTTTCTCTCACAGAGTGATTGGTGGGGTCTAACTGCTGACCCTTCTTTTAGCTGCCAAGTGCTAATCAGTGTGCCACTTAGGCTCCTTCAGGAGATATGAATCTTGTATTATTAATAAAATCAGTT